AACTCTTACAATAATTGATTACCCATTGCAATGCTACCCAATTACATTAATTGACCAGTGTTTCCATCCAAGAAGAGTTGCTGATATTCACTGCCTGTCCTCAGGGTTTTACTGGAAGAACTTGGTGCTTTGAATGTGACTAAAGTAAGTGCTGAAAAGGGATATATGTCAGGAATGAATACTGCTCCCGCATTCTTTGGATTATAATGTAAACCAGATTCAGACACTAGAAGACTTGTGTGTGTCTGTCTCTCGTCCATTCTCAGTTCCCAGGGCAAACTCAGTAAACGTGCCTGTGCCTAAATACTGGTATCTTCCATGCCTCTTCCCAGTGCCCCTCCCAACAGAGAGATTTTACATTTCTAATCTGCTTGGTACACAGGTAACCAAAGTGCATAACTGAATTGCAAATAGAAGCATGCTTGCTACTTTAGTGAAATTAGAATTCAGTGAAGGCTGTAAAAATATTAAACTTAATATCATATTACAGGAAGCGTAAGTATTTTTGATGGGCCCATAACTTTACCACTTCACCTGCTGTATCCGCTGGCAAACATGGTTTGAAATATTAATGGAAAACTCCCTCATTATTAAACTGCAGTATTAAAAAAAAAAATCCACAACCACTAACAGCTTACCACAAAGACATTTTCAGAAATTATCTACCTTAAAAATATTTTCCCACTAGACAGTTCATAAAATAGATTTAATTTTGTAAAGCTAGAACAAATGGGGAGACCCCCCCCCCCCACTGCTTCAAACAATTCATTAATTCAAAAAGTTCTATTTTCCTTGCATTTAAAATATCAGGGGGGAAAAAAATCCAATCTCCTTTTCTCCGATCTCCATTTAAGTGTGCCCATCTTGCTGAGGTCCAGAGTTGAATAATTTAAAACCATCTCTAGTAGATGGTGTGCATCAGGGGCCAAAATCATGGCCTTCTGGTCCAATGAATGGAAACAGAAAGTGCCCCCACCTCCTGATGTGCCTCATCCAACAGGCACAAGCCCCAGCAGGGGCAACCTGAAGGATGAGATGAGATGAGCATCTAGCCAAGGGCACACAGAGGACTCAGAGCAGGGACCCGGTGAACAGCTCCACAACACTCCTCTGAGGAGCCCCCACATTTCCACCTACTGACAGAAGTTTAGGTTATGCCTGTCTCCAACCATTACTTTACCACTTAAGTTTCTAAAACAGAGGGTTTTTTTTTTTAAAGGACCCAATAAGTGATTTGCCATTCTCTGAAGAAAATAACATGAAAGATCTGAATCTGGACTTCTGAAAAAAAAAAAAGTAAGGTCTGCCCTGGCCGGTTTGGCTCAGCGGTAGAGCGCCGGCGTGGGTCCAGAGACCCGGGTTCGGTTCCCAGTAAGGGCATGTACATTGCTTGCAGTTTGTCCCCAGCCCTGGTTGGGTCGTGCAGGAGGCAGCCACTCAATGTGTCCCTTTCATGTCAATGTTTCTCTCTCTCTTCCTCTCTCTCCCTCCCACTCTATCTGAACAAAAATGGGAAAATGTCCTCCGGTGAGGATTTAAAACATAAGGTCTGCCCTGGCCAATTTGGCTCAGCAGTTAGAGTGTCGGTCCTTGGACCAAAGGGCTGAGGGTTCGATTCCAGTCAAGGGCACCTACCTGGGTTGCAGGTTCGATTCAGCCCCAGTTAGGGTCGTGCAGGAGGTGACCAAATGACGTGTCTCTCTCTCCCTCCTTTCCATTCTATCTAAAAAAAGAAAATCAGTGGAAAAATATCCCCAGGTGAGGATCAAAAAAAGTAAGGTCCCTTGAATATATGGTTTTCTAAAGTGAAAAGAGCTTCACAGGATGTGAAGACATCTGACAGCTAGAAATTCTCGCTCCCACATTGCAACCTGGTTCGTGTGCCTTCAAAACCGCAGTCCCTCTGGCCGGCTCCATAGATGGGCATCACCCTCCTCTCCACCTCTTTCTCTCCTGACCACTCCTCTCCAAGAATGATGTACACCTTCCCTAGCAGCTGTGCATCCCCAGGGCCAGATATGGGAGAAGAGTCGTGCCCTGGCCACACCCTTTCCAGGTATGCTATGACACTCTGTGTGGGCAGGGCAGTGCTGCTAGTGTTTCAAGTTCAGTTCATGACCACCTTTTTTTAGATTATATCTGAAAATTTACCAGAAGCTTTTCACTATAAAACACATGCAAAGTATAGAAAGAAAAAACCCCATAGATCTCTTTTTAAAATTAGAAAAAGTCCATAAATTAATTAAATGTATGCAATTAGTTAATTTCTAAAAAAAAAAAAATTGAAGTATGTACAATCCACCTTCAACAACAAACTAGCCAGCTTCCGTCAAAGCTAGGGAGCCCCTCCCAGGAGCATGCCTACAGCTGGCGCAGCACAGTCAATACTGCGAGGCAGATACTACTTTCATGCACAAATGAGAAAACCACAACCTAGAGAGCTTCATGGGCTGGCCAAAGACCAGACCACAAGTTAAACAGCAGACGTGGGTCAGCCTGCGGTCCAGAGAGACCCGGGTTCGGTTCCCGCTAAGGGCACGTACCTTGATTGCAGTTCGTTGTGCGGGCTGGTCGTGCGGGTGGCAGCCACTCGATGTGTCCCTTTCACGTTGATGTTTCTCTCTCTCTCTCCCTCCCACTCTATCTGAAGAAAAAATAGAAAAATATCCCTGGGTGAGGATAAAAAAATAAAAAAATAAAAAATAAACAGCAGAGCTGGGCTTGCTATTCAGGTTTCCAGCCCCCAGATCTAGTGGTCTTGAGTAAAGCCGCTGAGCCCAGCCAAGCCCCAGGCGCACCTGGGGAGAGGGCAGCCTGGCCTTTGGACAAGCTCCACGCCGGCCTCCTGAGGCTCTTCTCTCCCCCAGCGAACCGAGAACACTGCATGCTCGCCAAGATCTCACTGTGCAGCCCCTGTGCCAATGGGTGAAGCTGTCCTGGAAATGCATCGACATCTGGCCTCACCCACGTGCACCTCAAGCACTGAGACAGATACACCACACAAAAACCAAGGAGCTTTTCCGAGTGCAAACATAACCCTCCTCGTTTGGAACGAAGGCCTGCGGACACACGGACAGTTTGTAATTCAACTGCCTTCTCCTGCGCACATCACATGTGGAGAGCCGGGGAACTTCATGTTTGTTATCCGCCTGTGAGCGGGGCCGTCCCCTGGCACTGCCGGAGCAGCTTAGAGCCACAGGAGCTCGGACATCCAGCCTCGAATACCAGCTCTGCCGCTGGGCACCCAGGGACTGGAGATGACCACACCCACTCTCTGGACCTTACCTTCTCTTCTGCCAAAGGAAGGCCACACCCACAATGTCTTGGTCTTCCTTAAGTAGGCAACCATAAATCAAAACAAATGCCTAGGGTTAGTTATTACTTTAAAAAACATTTCTATGATAGAGAGGGATCTTTCTGAAAGACAAAGACACACACACACACACACACACACACACCAGAAAGCACACCTACACTGTACAACTGCCTGTTGAGACTATTTTATTCAGAAAACCATGTTGTTGCTCCCATAGTTACTGTGAAAATTAGTAATTCTCATCTACTGACAACCTTGCTCAAATTTGATGTGGGCAAGGAAATCGAGAAAAAAAAGTCAATAAAAGAAGGGAATGAAAGACTAGGCTGTGCTTAATTTCAACAAAAAAACAAAAATCCACGTGCTTTTTAAACCTGTGGAACCAACCAAGGGCACAGAAACGCCAACATCCGGGGCCCCTTCCATTCCCCAGTGTGCTGCAGTTCAAAGGACCTGGGCGTCACAGCCCAGCAGAATAGTACACACTCTGCTGTCACTTGCTGCTTTTCTGAGCCTGAGGCCACTGGTGCCCTCTTGCTGTGGAGGGAGCAGTGCGCTCCTCACACGGCAGAGAGCAGAAGTTACAGGAGATAATGCGTTGGAGACCCTCAGTAAATGTGGACTCCCACCCTCCTTACTTCTCCTGGATAATAAGCGGATTCAAGAGCCCAGATCAGGTTTTGCAGCTTCAGAGAGAAGCGCACGGGGGACAGCTGGTGTGGGCACACCATAATGAGACCAATGAATGCAGAGAATAAGAGTTTGCAGAAATGATCAGATAATGAAACACCTCATATCTTTCCAAAGAAGTGAATCATTTTCTTTTAGGTGTCAAGTGAATAGCCAAACGCATCACAATCAAAGCCTGCCACGGAAAAGCCAGCCAGGCATGAGTGGTGGCTCCTAAAGAAGCAGAACCCACTGTGGCCCAGCCTCCGGGTACTTACAGGAGAAACACACACGCCCCCACAGCTCCTTCACAACACAAAGGCATTCTTGGATCCAGAAGTTCTAATGAGCTAAAAGTTTATTCCATTTCTAAAATACATTAAACTCAAACCCATCACTTATATCTCCTTAATTCTGAAATCCAATTCTCAATTTGGGTACTTTACCAGCATCTTTTCAAAAGATAGACTTTGGAAAATTTATGCACTCTCAGACAGGAGGGGGAAAACCCATCAGACATGAACAAAACTCACACCCTTGAATTTATTACAGTTTCCTCAGCCCTCATATCCCTCAGCTTTTCACAATCAGTAAAGTGCAGTTACCAGTCATTGGAAATGACATGAGCTTAATGTCAGAAATCATTTAGCTTGAATAAGAAAATAACTCCATTTAGCTTTCTCCCACAAAGTAAAATTAAGTTTGTTTAGCCCTTTTTTATTTATTGCCAAAGGGCAGATTTAATTTCAAGGGAGTGAAAACCAAACTCATTCTGAAGTCTGAAGTTACCACTTTAAATCTGCTCTAACCATTGAGTCACAAAGGCTGCAATCATTAAACCAAAGAAGCATTAATTACGGAAAACAACAGGTGAGTGGGACCACTAAGCTTGGAGGATTGGGGTGAGAAGTCTGTATCTTATTTTGCTACATTGCAAATACACCCTTTAAGAAATCCCACTGGCTCTAGGGGGCCTCTTTAGCCCACCCTTCCAGGCTCCAGGCTCAGGACTTACCAGATACATTAATCACAGCCCCTGCGTCAATGATGCCACTGTTGGGCCTCACACAGTACCTACGTGGTGCTGTGGTCTTCACTTTGAAACACACATTTCGGTCTGTCAGGTTGCCAAGCTTTAGGTTGGTGGTGACAACGTCAGTGAAGGGACCTATGGAATGAGAGACAGAGACTGATTGGGAATCTCATGAGGACAGTTTAGAAGACTGATTTACAGTCTGAGGTTGAGAGGGATAATGGAATGTGGTTAAGGGAAGATTCAAGATCCGAAACTATCTCACCATTATAAATAACAGAGAGGAGCCAAGGTCAATGCACTAACAACAGCAGCTAAAATTCACTGTGTCCACAGCATGCCGCGAGGCACCTAGTAAACATTCTCACAGTCCCCACAACTCTATGAGTATTGCTCTGCTAAGTCACCATGTCACCCTGGCTGGTTTGGCTCAGCACTTAGAGCATCGGCCCATGGATGGAAGGGTCTTGAGCATGATTCCTGGTCAAGGGCACATACATGTGTTCCGGGTTGGTTTCCCTAGCCGGGGTAGTGCAAGAGGCACCAGTCGATGCGTCTGTCTTACATCGCTGTTTCTCTCTCTCTCTCTCGCTCTCTCCTTCCGGTCCACTCTCTCTAAAAATCAATGGAAAAATATCCTCAAGTGAGTAACAAAATAAATAAATAAAAGTTACCACACCCTCAACAATCTCACAGACCTCACAACTCTATAAGCAAAAGGGAGGCTCAAGAAGACATGTTCCTTGTCTACGTTTTCTCACTAGTCAGTGGTAGGCTGGACCCTGTGACCGACAGCCTGACCCAAGGCCAGCTGCTCACCTATGCTGAACACTATTTCCCAACAACAAGAGGAAAGCTGATGGGGAGAGCACAAAGGACACCCTGGGCACACGGCGATGCGCAGTCACAGCAGAGGCAGAGGCAGGGACGTCCTTGCGGCGTCAGGGCCCACAGACAATGCAGCGGCGATGCCGGAGGAGCGGCAGCATCTCAGGCTGCAGTAAGCTTGTAGTCCTGCTGGGCAGCCCCACCCGAACCATCACTTCCGTTTTAACCACCCAGATTACTGGGATGATTGAAAGAAAGCTCAGTGCCCTGAAGGTATATTTTATTATTATTTATTCATTTTCTACTTTATTAGATTTTTTAATTAAAAAAGTCAAACATGATTCCTAAAACAAGCCAAACAATAAAAGATGTATAAAGAAGTTAATAAGCTTTCCCTTGTCCCCTGAGGTAACAGTATGGGAGAGCTTTCACATCATCTATGCTCATACAAATAGTATATACAAATAGTACATCTATGCTCATACATACACGTGGAGGAAGAGAACATTAACAAAAATGGAATCATACTATTCACATTACTCTGAAACTTGCTTTTTTTCCACTTAGCAATCTACCACGAACACCTGACCATTGAGTTTATTAAGGAGTCAGGTGGGAAGTTTGAACTACAAGACCTCTTAGGTCCTTTTCAAATTTATATCTTTTCACCATGTAAATCAATGACATCTTCTGTTTCTTCTAGGCAAGCTCTTTATAGTTACAAGGAAGTAGAAGATGGGGTGGGAAGTTATGTGTGGCTGTGTGTTCACAAACTAAGAAATACAGAGTGTTGCTTCTTCATCCTTTGGATGTTGCCTAAGAAAACCCAACCAACACAGACATTTAAATCTATGACTTGAAAACTTTTTAATGAGACTCTAACCCCCCTGAGGACAGGACAGTACTTTTCCTGGTTTCTATATCCCTGGCACTGTACCTGGCATTTAGGAAAGGTGTGTGCGTGTGTCTACACAGGTATAGATAAACAGAGATTCACTCACCAAGGAGGAAACTACCTGAGAGATTACCACTAGCAAAATTAAAATCTCAGGCTGCTTTCTCTCCCCTAGAGATGCTCAGGGCATGAAAAATCAATCTGATATGGGCTTAACTTAAATATAAATTAAGAAATCAATAATGGTAGAAAGGAAAAAAAGAAAAGCAACTCAATTCCAAAATCAAATAAACTACAGTTGATTCTACTATAAAGCTTATTTTGAAAGCGTGAATTTGTTTTAATGGGATTAATGTGCTTATCAAGGGGACAAACTGAGCATAAAACGAATTTCACATTTGCTTGTGTGTGATTTTGTCTGGAAGAAACGCTAGGTGAACACGAGAAAATGCGCCCTGCTGAACTGCGCTGTGCAGAAACACCCCTCCAGCAGACCTCAGCCCCCTACCGCCACCTCAGTCCAGCTACGCCCAGCACACCTGGTGCTCCCATGCTCACTTCAAATGTAGGTGACCCTCCTCCTTCCTCCAATGCCCACTTCCACAGGTAAACAGCAGGTCTTTTGAGATAAAGTGCTATACTTAACTGTAGTACTTATGTACTTCCTACCCATTTAATGTGTGCAAAACTGTGCTACTGTTTTTATTAGTTTCCTGAGTGTGCGCACAACCTAGTTTCTGAGTGTTTGCACCTCGTTTCATTTCCCCTGGTAAGTCCTATGGCCCTCCTCTGCTGGCTGCATAGTGTGCTGCGCACGGGGCTGCATAGGTAGCATTTAAGAGAGCCAGTGACATTAAAGGGTCGTCTGCTGTTCTGGGGTCACTTGTACTGAAAGCTATTCTCGTCTCAGAGGCAATGACACCTTCAAGAATGAAACGCCTAAAGAGAGGTTGTCCGCTTGTTTCCCTTCCTAGTAAGTGCTGCCTTGGGCCCTCCCTCTGGAGTCAGGCTGCAAGCAGTGAGAGGGAGGCACTGTGCAAGGGCAGCTGCGGCCAGATGTGGGGCAGGCAGAGTCTTTGCTAGTGCATCAGACCCTCTGGCGCCAACACAAACAACCCTCTCTCTACACTCTATCTCCTTTTTGAGAACTAAAAGCTTACACAAGAGGTCAGGTACCCTGGGGCCCGAGAGGATTCTCAGCTACCCTGAGGGAAAGCAGGTGCTGACAGCACCCGGTCCTTGTATCAAGTGCTGGCTAGGGAGAAACAGGACACTGGGTGCTGAGGCAGTATCTGAGGGATTATGGAGGCTGCGGTTCGCTGTGACTCTACCCTTCACTCACTAACGCCTGCAGTCTGACTCATAATGAAGATAAAGTCTGAACTCCCGTAAACCCTCTGCTTGCTCCAGGTAGTGATCACTCCAGCAATGGCAAAAGAAAAAGGATAACTGAACACAACTCTAGTTTTCAAAGAAAACAAATGCACACATACATCCAGACAACACACAAACCTACAAGGGCACCATCACCATCTACATACATCCCTGGCCTCCCATAAAAATCACCTATCCCAAGAACTCCATACAGGCATAGCTCCAGCTCCAATAGCCCAGAACACTGGGGGAAAGGAGAAGAAAACAGGCAAAAATGTGTGTCTACGTAAAGACTCACCTAAAAGTGGTATGCTTTCAAATGTAAAACCTGGGAGTAAAAAAGGTGTTCGATGACCATAGGAAGGTGACTTCTAAAGTACCAAGTCTTAAAGCTCTCCAGACATAAGCTTAAAGTTATGAGTTTCAACAAAATTCTGCATCAAGAACATGGAAGCATCTTCAGATCAGAACGCCAAGAATGCATAATTGCTCAGAAACATAAAAAGAAAACAAAACAGACTTTTCTAAGCTGGTTAGAAGTATACTGAGAGCGGACATAGGTATGCTAGCAAGACTAGGATGAAATAAAGAATACTTTACTTACTTGTTTCCCACTCGATTTCTAGTGTGTCTTCCTCCCCACCCCACCTCACGAAGTTAGGGGAGCCTACATTTTTAAAGTGCAGTGAAGTCCTTACTTCACATTGTAGATAGGTCCTGCAACTTTAAGCAAAATGACATATAACAAAACCAATTCTGTCACAGGCTAATCGATATAAACAAGAGTTCAGTTACCGTGGCTTCTCATCAACATTATAGCGAAACTGCTTTGAACAAAAGGACGTTAATTGAGGGCTTGCTGTAATTGTTTATCCCTTACGGTGACCTCTTCTTCCAGGTACTCCACAAAATAAATAAACCAACCGTAACTGTAAACACTAGGCTGTTTTGGAAACCCACCCCCTTCCCCTGCATCCACTTAATCTATTACAGAGCAATCTCAATAGTGTTTCAACCTATACGCATCACATGAAACGTAGACTAGATTATTAAAAGACAGTATTTGTACAAATAAGCAGGGTAAAATAAATATCCCAGATTTCTCCTCAAACTCGATCCTGCGCCTTTAAGTATTAGGGATTTCTGGGGTTTACATAGGTAATAATTTGTAAAAATCTGGAGAGAAATATAGTAAAAATAAATGCAAGTGAACAACATCACTGGTAAAATAGCAAAGTTTCATGAGTAAAAATCAAGACATTTTACAAAAACAGGTAAACTCTTCTCTCCCCATGCCCAGCAATTTACTCTAAGAATTTTATTGAAAATAAATTCTATTTGATTTGAGGAATTATAGGAAATAAACCATGCTAGTGTTCTCCTTCCCCCCTTTATTAATGAATTAGAATACAAAAAAACCTCAATAAAAATGATGGAAGGGCTTATAAGCATCATTCAGATTTTTACCAGTCACTCTCATTTCACAGAACTGCCATTCCCATTAAAGCATTATGAGAAAAATGGGACTGTACTATACCATCATGCATATTTATCACCAATAAATTCAAACATTGCTTATAGAGTCAATTTTACAAATGAAATCTTCTTCAAAGTTAGACTTTTTTCTTTAAGAGATGAAAAGGTGAGTAGGTATCTCTAGAACCACAGCACATACTTTTAGTAATTTTTCTTTCTAATATTCTATTCTTTTTGTTTTGCTTTGTTTATCCTCACCCGAGGACATTTTTTGCATTTATCTTCAGATAGAGTGGGAGGGAGAGAGGGATGAAGAGAAAGAGAGAAACATTGATGTGAAAGAGACACATGGACTGGTTGCCACCTGCACGACCCCAACCAGGGCCGGAGACAAACTGCAACCAAGGTACGTGCCCTTAGCGGGAACCGACCCTGGGACTCTCCGGTCCGCGGGCCAATGTTCGAACCGCTGAGCCAAACCGGCCAGGGCATAATCTTCTATTCTTTATTTCAGATAACGTTTATGCAAAACTAGGAACTAAACATCTAAAACGTGACAAAGGAGGTCAAAAAATGAAGCAACATGATTTTGGAATAAATTAGGAGGTCTCTTCCTTTTAACAATGGGACTAATATTCTCTCGGCTCTATTCAGTCCACCTGTGAAAATTCTGATGTGTCTGACAGATGCTCAGGAAGGGCACTGACTGACTTGAATATGAATTCCTTGGCATGATTGGAAAAGTATTTAGATCAAGCTAAGCAACGTAAAAACTACAGCAGGTCCTCGAATAACACTGCTTCATTGTAACGCTGAAGAGATGCTCCAAGAACTTAACTCTTGTTCCTATCAATTAGCCTACATTATTATATGTTATTTTGCTCAAAGTCACAAAACCTTTTGACACACTGTATCTCCTACATGTAGCCTTGGCTTATTATCATTTCAAAGTATTTTAAGACAGTTAGAGATCTAGAATTGACCTGAGAAAGCAAACAATACAGTGTCAGCAGTAATATAAATAGTATTAAAAGTAAAAAGAGGAACAGTCCATTTTTCAGTCTTACTTACAGAAATGGAACCTTAGAATTACAAAGTGCTGGTTTAAAGGTCAAGGAAAGAAGGTCACATTCCAGCAAACTTCTGGATAATAAGGATTCAGGTTTCACATAGTGAAAATCTCATTAACAATGGCTAGATAAACTTATCAACCAGGAAACACAAGAGCATTTTGTGGAAAAAGTATTCCATCGACTGCTTCCACTTGCTGCTGGTCTCTGCAGGGGTAAGCCCATCTCCGTGACCACTCAGAGGCCCATGCAGGAGGAGACAACGACAGAGCTCGAGTTCAGGTCCAAACAACTGTTAAGGGTACCAGCGAAAACTCCAAGGGAACTCAAACTCAACCCTGGCCTTATCTGTGTAACCTCAAGCATATCATATCTCCGTATCTGTAAATAACAAAACAGAATTTTTTAAAGGGATAAATATATCATTTTATTTTTTACTCAGCAATTCAACTATATATATGAAACAACAAAACCATAAACTCCTAGAAGATAACAGAAAAATTCTAGATACGCTTGGGTTTGATAATTACTTTTCAGATACAACACCAAAGGCACAATCCATGAAAGAAACTACTGATAAGCTTTACTTCATTAAAATTAAAAACAACTGCTCTGCAATGGATACTGTAAAGAGGATGAGAAGACAAGTGAGCTGCAGACTGGGAGAAGGTATTTGCAAAAAATATACTATTTGGGAAAAAAACATATTTGATAAACATCTGTCATCCATAATACACAAAGAACTCTTAAAACTCAACAATAAGCCCTGGCCAGTTTGGCTCGGCGGTTGAGCGTCGGCCTGTGGACCACAGAGTCCTGGGTTCAGTTCCTGCTAGGGGCACATACCACAAAAAAAAACCCTCAACAATAAGAAAACAAACTGCCCAATTTAAAAATGGGGAAATGGTCCAGCTGATGTGGCTCAGTGGTTGAGCATCCACCCCTGCACCAAGAGGTCACCGGTTCAATTCCTGGTCAGGACACATGCCTGGGTTGTGGGACCGATCCCCAGTATGGGACATGTAGGAGGCTGCCAGTTGATGTTCTCTCTCATCGATGTTTCTACCTCTCTCTCCCTCTCACTTCCTCTCTCTCTAAAATCAATAAAGAAAAAAATTTTTTTAAATGGGCAAATGATCTGAGCAGACACCTCACCAAAGATACGCAGATGGAAAAAAATATACAAATGAAAGATGTTTAATTAATATGTCATTAGGAAGTTGCAAATTAAAACAGCAATGAAACCATAAAAGACTAATAACACTTATTAGAATAGCCAAAATGGCTCTGGCCAGTGTGGGTCAGTTGAATGGAGCATTGTCCTGTAGACCAAAAGGTGGCAGGTTCGATTCCCAATCAGAGCACATACCCAAGTTGCAGATTTGATCCCTGGTTAGGGTGCGTGCGGGAGGCAACCGATTGATCTTTCTCTCTAACATTCATGATTCTCTCTCCCTCTTCCTCTCTCTAAAATCAATTTAAAAACAAAACAAAAAAGAATAGCCACAATCTAAAATACAACCTTAGCCCTGGCCGGTTTGGCTCAGCGGTTAGAGCGTCGGCCTGCGGTCCAGAGAGACCTGGGTTCGGTTCCCGCTAAGGGCATGTACTTCGGTTGCAGTTTGTCCCCGGCCCTGGTTGGTCGTGCGGGTGGCAGCCACTCGATGTGTCCCTTCACGTCGATGTTTCTCTCACTCTCTCTCTCTTCCTCTCTCTCCCTCCCACTCTATCTGTACAAAAAATGGAAAAATATCCTCGGGTGAGGATAAAAATAAAAAATAATAATAATAATAAAAAATAAAATAAAATACAACCTTAAACGCTGGCAAGGATGTGGCACAGGAGTTCCCATTCTTTGCTGGTGGGCATGCAAAACGGTACAGACGCTTTGGAAGACAGTTTGGTTGTTTCTTAAAAAAAAAAAAAAAACCCATACTCTCACCACACAATCCAGCAATCAATCTCACCCTGGGATTCAGCCATGGAGTTGGAAACTCATGTCCACGCAAAACCTGCTCGCGGTGTCCGCAGCAGCTGTTGCACGCCCACCTGCGAGGCTTCACTCTAGTGCGGTTCTATCAAATGCTATACTGTATCTCTCCAATGCTATACTGTATCTCTCCAATGCTATACTGTATCTCTCCAATGCTATACTGTATCTCTCCAATGCTATACTGTATCTATCAAATGCTATACTGTATCTATCAAATGCTATACTATATTTACTATATCAAATGCTATACTATATTTACTATATCTATCAAATGCTATACTATATTGGGAAAAACCGCGACAGAGTGAAGCCGTGAAAATCGGAGCGCGAAACTGGTGAGGGATAACTGTTATCAGTGAGGACTAAAATGAACTATCGTGCTCAGACATGAGGCATCATTCTGACATGAGGAATCTTAAATGCATATTATTAAATTAAAGAAGCCAATCTGAAAAGGCTGCATCCTGTATGACTCAATTATATAACATTCTGGAAAAGGCAGAGATCAATGGTTGGCAGGATTGAGAGGGGAGGGAGAAATAAACAGATGGGCAGTGAATCTATTCTGTATGACACTATAATGTCAAAACCCACAGAATGTTCAACAGCAATATTGAACCCTAATGTAGTCTAGGAATTTGGGGTTACAATGATGCGTCAATGTAGGTTTATTGATTGTAACAAATATATCGATGTTGATAGTGGAGGAGTTTCTGCATGTGTGGTGCCAGGGGCATACAGGAACTCTCTATACTTTCTACTGGATCTCGTTGTGAACCTAAAACTGCTCTTAAGAGAAACCTTGTTCTTTTTCTGTAAGAGGAAGAAAAAATTAGGCCTGGGTTCGGTGCCTGCTGAGGGCACGTACCTCGGTTGCGGTTTGTCCCTGGCCCTGGTTGGGGTTGTGTGGGTGGCAGCCACTCAATGTGTCTTTCTCACGTCGATATTTTTCTCTCTCTCTCTTCCTCCCGCTCTATCTCAAGATGGGTGCAAAACTGTCCTCGGGTGAGGAAAAAGGAAAAAAAAATTATCTGGCCTTCATATTAATTTACTTTTGGTAGCACCCCTCAACATTTCTGATATTAAATATTACTGAAATTTTCAAATATGTGTTTTATATGTATATGAATGAATAAATAAAAAAGCTATAAAACTAATAAAGATGCTTTGTTTTGCAAAGAAATTGCTTTTCTCTCCTTTTTCTAGTTCATGAAATTCTGGCATTAGAAACACACAGCCTTCCTTTGTAGAATGTCTCCTGATGTAGCTACAGTACTTTAAAACTCAAACTGTATGTGTTACCAAAAGTTATATACCAATTTGATATATAATCTATCAGGTCTCACTTTCCAGATATAAACTTCAAGTTATTAGCTCCACAACAGTTTTTTTCACTCTGCATAAAAAGGGCTGTATTTTATACTCTTGCAAACACAATTTAGGTACAATATCTCTCCTTTCTTCAACTCTTCCAAAAAACAAGTTAACTATATTTCACTTCAACTCTGAAAAGATTACCTTCTGGGAAGGTAATAATCTGTCTCCAGAAGCCTAGGGCTGATGATGGATTTTGTTAAGACAATAAAATTATGCTTGAGGTTTCAATACAGTAGACTCTATGCATGGGAAAAGTATATTAAAATGGGGGAAATGGACAGTATAAAGTAAAATCTGTTGAATATCTTATAGATGTCTTTAAAATGTACCCTTTGGCAGTCTATCTCCATCACAGGGACCCTACTGCTGCTGCCTGCTTTGCTTACCCGTCTGCAATGCACCAGCCCTCATGTTATTTCTCTTGTCTGTCTGCCCCTTCCAGAATGGAAACTGCGTGAACACAGGTTTTTCTGTCCCTCTTGCTCACTACTGATGATCAGCATCCAGAACACTCCCAACACGCCACACTATTTTGAGCGGCGGCTCCCTTCCTCCTGCAATCACCGTCCTGGGTAAATGGTCCCTGAGGCCACTGCGGAGCCCTGTCCAGTACCACCACTCTTTCCATCTTCAGCACAGGACTCAGGATCAACTCACATCTCACTTGTTCCCATCTAGAGCAAACCTCCACAAGGGAGGCCCCCTTCATCCCGGGATGCCCTGGCCTCGAGCAGTGCGACTGTTCCCTACTGCAAGGCTCAGTGTGTGCAGTGTGGATGAACACCAGGCTTCCTGAGGGCAACAGGACTCTGATTCTGCATGCTTCCTATAAACAGAGGCTTACTCCATAACCTGGATCTAAAGTCACGATAAATCTGTGCTGTTCATATACAGGTTGAAGATTTTAAAAATTTTCACTTGTGTCAATAATGTTTTTATAATTATTATTGTATGATAATTTTGTTTAGAGTCCCCCCCCCTCTAAAAAATGGGGGAAGGGATCATAGTAGCAGATATTCATTCAAAACGGGCAAGCTCTTAAATAGCCATGAATTCAAGAGTAAGGACACTGGGAAGTTTTTAAAAAAATCTATTTTGTTGATTGAATTGTTAGCTCACACATTAAATCAATGCTTCAGAAACAAACAAAGCTTTGTAACCAATGTGTTTTTAATGGCAGACATTGGACTCCAATGTTCAGTAGAAAGCCTAATTGTGTCGCTCTTATTTGGAAATAACCACACATAAAGTACCCTCACACAGACATACAACTTTCCTGAAGAACTCTTAGAATGCAATGTACTCTAAATAAAGTAACCTCCTTTGATATCCTTGGGAGACAGCCAGCAACTGAGAAAACATCACACCCATTATCATAGTAAGAGAAATCAACACCAAGACGACGCACAATGATGCCGTCAAAGGCACACGACGAGCCAGCTGATTGAAAGGGCCTGCACCGACCTCTCAGACTGCCTCCTCGGCTCACCAGCTCCCTGGTTCCTTTGGAGCAGAAGGAAATAAAGCTCAGTCTGCCCCACGGGTGGGAAACGAGACCCCAAGGCAGTCTGCTGCAGTGTGAACTTCCAGCAGGTGACAGTGTAAGGGAGACCTGAGATCAAACTCAGGAAAGCCCCCCAAAAGACATAAAGTTAGACAGCAAAAAACAGCCGAAAAAACGAAAAGATATCCACAGTAGCTTATGTTAACAGATAAACAATTATTATTCGGAATAAAGAACTCATTAATAACCATGCTAAATTCTTATGCAGTACTATACAATTGAAAAGAATGAATTAGATCTGTATTTCAACAATAGATGAGTCTCAGAAACATGTTAAGTAATATATATGCCAAGACACTGCACTAAGTAATATAGAAAAAACAGAAAGAGTTCATACTGAATTCCTGGAGGGTAAAAAGAGGGGCATGAAGGTGTAGATATGGAGAGCGCATGTCTTTATATTCTCAGTAAAGTTTAATTATTAAAGAAAGATTTAAAATAAAGTATAATATGTTATTAACATTTAGTTACTCTGTAATGGGGTGTTTATTATATTATCTGTTTTTCAATATTTAAATTGTTTTCCACATAAAGAAAGCTACCTGTAGTTTACCTAAGATCCAGACAATGTTCTTTGTAGAGACTCTTCTTCTTGCTCAGAATGTTGCATGTATAAAAATACAGGGGAGCTTCCGCAGCCGCGGCCATTGAGGAACAACAGCCATGGCTCTGCGCTACCCAATGGCCGTGGGTCTCAACAAGGACCACAAGGTGACGAAGACTGTGAGCAAGCCAAGGCACAGCCGCCGCCGCGGGCGCCTCACCAAGTTTGTGCGGGACATGAGCCAAGAGGTGTGGCTTTGCCCCCTATGAGCAGCACGCCATGGAGCTGCTCAAGGTCTCTAAGGACGAGCGGGCCCTGAAATTCATCAAGAAAAGGGTGGGGACACACATCCGGGCCAAGAGGAAGAGAGAGGAGCTGAGCAATGTCCTTGCAGCCATGAGGAAGGCAGCAGCCAAGAAGGACTGAGCCCCATCACATGTAATAAAATCTGTTCAGAAACCTGGGGCTCCTGTGGTGGCATTGCATGTGGTCTGTTATCTGCTTGAAACCTCCTGTGATGTAAAGCATGGTGGTAGGCATAGAAAGAAGCAACAGATGTGTGGTACTGGAAATGGTCTTTAATCACAATTAAATGATTATGCGTCTGAAATAAATAAATAAATAAATAAATAAATAAATAAATAAAAATACAGGGGACCTGGATTGTGATGTTGAAAACCAATGTACCTACACTGAGTATTGAGCAGTAGTGGTCTCATTAATTCAAGACAAATACAAATCTAAAATTTTGACTAAATCTATTTTAAGAGCTTTGAAGACTAAAAGCTATTACCCACCTAGAGGTAAATACTATGACTACTTTTCTTTAATGTAACCCTTTTCTAAATAGAAAAAAGGGCTGAAATTTCCTACCTACATCCTATCCATGCCCAGCACTAAGAAACATGATAGTACACAGGTGAGATTATTTTAAGGTAACAGCATACCTGACTGGTAGGACTATTTATATATTAGCTCTAAAAGGATCTTAGACTACTTAATAAACTGAGGTATTTCAATGCACAACCTACCCCAATGGCTAACAAACATCTAGTAATATTTCAATATTTAGAAGACCAAAATTTGTCATTACAGTGATCATAAAAATAAACAAAAATATAAGCAATACTTTACTTCAAATAAAATTCTACCTAAACAGGATCGTGGCAAAGCATGCCTTTTTTTTCCCCAGACAAAGCAAGAGTTGAGGCAGACACCAGCGAGGGATATGAGTAACGAGAGAGGAAGGGTCCCAATTTCTCAAGGCTGCAGTGGTGGTTTTAACTTGACTTAGTTATAAATTGACAGTTCGAGTCAAGTACATAAAGTCAGTACCAGTGGAAGTAAAAACCCCCCCAAAATGCTGAGTCCTCAGTGGAGACAATAGAC